ACGACCACGACCACGACCACGACCACGACCACGACCACGACCACGACCACGACCACAACCACAACCACCACGACAACAACAACCACCACGACAACAACAACAACCACGACAACCACAACGACAACAACGACAACGACAACAACGACAACAACAACAACGTGGTTGGAGGTGCTCAGTCGAATGGTTGCTGTCATGATCCAAGAATGATCAACACTTGAAGCCTTCCAAACTTGCTGGAAGTGGAAGCGCTTCAAAAGGAGTTCTAAACAAGAACCGCAAAATGCACCCTCATTTCGCCGAGCTCTGAGCTGCGAAGAAGCAATATCCTTTTTGATCTTTTTTGTTTTTGTGAGGACTCGAGTCTCTGGATGTCTCTGGTACTATCAAGTATTATCGTATTTTCTTCCACTTTACTTTAACTATGTTTAAGTGAATATCACCTTTGACCAGCCACACTGGAGGTCCGGTTGAAGTCATCAGGTGTGCACAAACCAGCTTGCCCGAAAAGAAACCGTGGGCTGGTTGCATCTTTCTGTCACCCCCGTCACCTCCGTCAATGGGTCTCACGGAGCATCCTTAGAATGGCTGACAGTGGCAAGCACATGTAAGCACCAGCTCCAAACGGGCCCTGCTAGGCAGCCATACTATGGTAAGACCGCTTGAAACACATCGAATCCATGGGTCCCATCACTAAACAAGTGGTGGCCATCGTTTTCCCATCGATCTGCCTCTGTGGCCATCTGTACCTCAATGGTGTCCCGGATCTGAAACCTCTGCCGGTTGAGGTGGCCATCTGCGAGATGAGATTCGATGGTTTCAGTGTTGAAAGGTCTGGAGGCCGAAAGGAAAGAGGAGAGGGAGCATCCAAGTGAGGAGAGGCTCCATCCCAAGTGAAATTGGGAGCTGGGAGCATCTAAGTGTTCACCAAACTCACCGGACCAATGGACAGCTGGTACATTGAGCATTTATTGATTTATGATCTTTTGATATCCAGACCATTAATGATTAGCTTGACTTTGCCCAAAGAACGTCTGCAGTTGGATGCAGAACCACATGTCACAGGACGCCGATCACCGAGCAAAAGGACACCGGACTGTCAGTGGTGCATGCAGCTTTCATCCCCAGGCCAAAAACAAGCGCTCCAAAGGACTGGTCGATTGCTACTTGTAGCGATGCCCCACTAGTTGCTAGTAGGTATACTTGTTATTTGCCAAAGAGTGTGACCAATCAAATGACCAGGATCTATTGTTGGCCGGTCGTCGACGGTTCTTATAGCTATATATAGAACTCTGGTTGGTGGTTTCGGCTCACTGGAAAAGTATTGGAGAGTTAATTATACTCTTGCTAAAAGGAACGACAATCAAATCAACTACTGTAGTTGTGCGGTTGTGCCTTCCGGTTGTGGAAACCTGGAAAACCTGCTGTTTTAACAGCGTCGCCAGGCGTCTTGTCTTGGCCGAGATGCTGTGCTAGCACCCCTGCCAGTAGAGTCGATGCCGTACGTCCTTCAGGCGCAAACGACTCCGGAGCGTCAAACAAGGGGCGCCAACCGGTGCGTCTTGGTGGAGCTTGTCCTCTTCAACTCCACTGTTAAACCAAGAGATGCAAAGATGGATAGTCAACTAGATTTCGCACTTTCTCAGCCCTCGAGCTTTGGCCAAGCTGCCACTGGCATCGGAAAGGATCAGGACAGTCTTGCTTTGCCCAGAGCTGCTGCCAGCTTGAAGCGTAGTAAGGACTTGCCTCACCATGGGATGATACTCAGGAGCGAACCCCGCGAATGTTGCTCCAAATTCTCAAGTCAAATGCCCTGTCCATTTCGAAGGACCAACGGGGCCACCTGGACTTGTGGCCAAATCTATCCAAACTGGATTTGAGCTTGATCCTCATGTCCTCTCCCTGACATGAAATGTACAATGTTCTACAAATGTTGGGTCTTCCAAATTGTCCTCACGGAAACTTTTGAACAGGATGTGTTGAACACTTTTCAAATGTTCTCTGCATTGTCATAGAATGTCCATCAAGCCCAAGGAAACTGTGAAACAACTGTCTGCTGGCACTTTGTCCGCCCCCTTCTCCCCTGACAGGTCTTGGACAGGGGACGATGCTTCAACAAACTACACTGACGCGAGCCATGAACCAAGTCTGTGTCCTGACCCAAGTTCCCTTACCCTAGGCCCTAGGTCTGTGCAAGAGGAAACGAGCAGAACATGTTCTAATTCTCCCAAAACAAGCCATGCTCCTAACGTCGATCCAGGTGCTCCCAACGGTGCTCGCAACGGTGCGTTCGATCCCGAGCCCAGGCTTCACCCTGTCCTCATTCAAAGGATTTCCAAGGGCTGAAGTTATATGTCGTTACTATGCTGTACCAGCCAATGGCCGTCCAATTCCCCATTTTGTGGGCCACCCAACCTCGCTGGCTTCTCTGCCTGCAGCACACTCAAGCTGGTTGTGTTTGCGCGTTCAACAAGACACAACATGATGCCTCTCGTTACATTGTATATTGCCCACAAATGACCTTGTAGCAACCAGATCTCAACCAATGGAACCAGCTTCAGAGGGCACATCACACATCATGTGCCCGAACCAAGCGAAGCAAACGCGTTTGTTTTTCATACTATCCATTCCTCAGAAACGCTATGCCCAAACCATGGAATTATAAAAGGGGCTCGTCGGTATCATTTTACACATGTGCATATGAAGACTACAAAGGTTTAACCGCCAAGTAAGTCAAGTCATGCAATCTAGTACCTATACTTGTATATCTTTCTCTAGCCTCTAGTCTAAAACGATCCTCGTAATACCGGGATTGAAACATATGGGCATCGGTTTGAATTATGGGTTTGTATTTGTTTGACGTTCCCGGGCTGTGATGTTTCGGGTTGTGCTTCGCCTAAGTCACGTTTAAAAGAAACACACCCATCTGGGGGTGACTCCCACACCCTCACATCCTCCGTGCCAGCCAACCTGCAAGCTGAAGAAACTGTGCGAAGGGTGACTCAGCATCGAAGTGAATGCAAGCACCTCAAAGCTGCGAGCTCCGCATAATATGCACTGGTGGATCATGATGATCATGCCCGAACCCGATCCATCCAACGATCATAAGGAACTTGGAAGCTAACCCAGGCCCCTGCTTAGCCGTGAATTAACTCGACAGGCCCGGCCAACACGACAATAGATGGCCTAAAACCTACTACCGATGGCCTCCAATCTACTAGCGATGGCCTCCAACCTAGTAGCGATGGCCTAGATCGCCAAAGGAGCTTCAGTCACAATGTCCAGTGGGTTGTACCCATCGATAAAGCCTCATAAAACTACCCCTTCCATCCGCTGCCACCTTATTAGGTTCTCCTGGGAGTCTTGTCACCAGCCCGTTATTTACTAGCATGCTTAGCATGCTTTAAACATCTCATGAAATGGCCCTAGAGGGCCGAAATACGACAAACAAGGACAATAAAATTCAATAAAACACACAAATCCAGACCTCGTGTCTTTCGCAAAGCATGACAGCTCCAAGTCACCGAAAAGAAGAGCTCCAAGGACCGCCCCGGACGTGGCGCCCTGGGAGAACGGACGTGGCGTTGGCGGTTGTTTTGGTGGTTCTATCATGTTCTATCTGCTGTGCCCAAGAACAACAAATAGAACTCTCAAGATCTCTGAAGCCTGTAGACCTGGTGAAACATCCCTGATCTTCACAAGCACCAACAGCTTTGGCGAGGTTTTATGTAAGCAAACTTGTAATGCGTCCCGAGCCAACTGCGAGCTGCGCAATTTCTGAGCCTGAATTACCAAGAATGGCACCAAACCGATTCTACACTGACTTGAGGTCTCACTCTGCAAATCAATCTCCAGTGTGTCCCAAAAGGATTAAGGCTAGCCACACACCTCGTGCTCTTCAAACATGTTCAAACCTGTAAGCCCTGAAGCAGCAACCTCCCTGCCTGCTCCTTCGACAAAACGCCTCTGCCATTGTTGCCTCAATTGGCTATCGGGAAAAGACATGCTACAGTGGACATCTTCAGTGGGCACCATGCTTCGCAAAAAAACCCGCCGACAAGAGATCCAACATCACAAACATGGTTCCTGCATGTTCCTGCTTCCATTCAACAAAATTGCTAGGGAGTGATGACCCCTTCTTTGACCCAAAGGGCTTCTTCTCAAGTTAAGCATTTTCAGCGGCATGGACCCGGAGCCAGGCGCGGCACTGAGGGACTGGCCCAATTAATTCGCTGCAAGGTCCGTCTTTGTGGCGGCCGCAATCGAATGGCTTCGGCCCTGGCAAATCGACTTTGTATGGCTTCTACACACATTGGGTGATCATCATCCCTATAGTTGAACAAAATGTTTTTGTGCTTCATCTGAACAAAGATGGCTTTTAGACAACTGCGACGAGGAAACGGCCAAAGCTCTTGAGCCAAGAGCACCATTTCAACCAGCGAAATCAGCGCGTCTGAAAATGCGGAATCGGACTATGGACAGTTGCTCCATCGAGATAGACGATAGGTTTCCAACTGAATCCCTCTCAGTTTCCAACGTTTCAAATGAACCTGGGTGTACATCATATAAATCATATACATCATGTTCGTATGTATATATATACTATACAGTATATACACTGTACAGATCTGTACAGTATATCTTTTCACAAGCTTTTGGAAGCTTATGGAGCCACGTCATGACTCGAGTTGTTGGAATGTTGGCTGACAACAAAACGTGCTGCAATGGCTCAGGCTCCAAGCCGTCGCATTTTCGATGACAGGGTCTGAGGAAGTGCAACCTCTCCTAAGCAAACTTGCACCACCTGAGAACAAACCACTTCAGAGTTCCGCGGGCTGCTTTGTCAAATTATATTGCATTTGGTGGTGCAGGTCAATAATTAACGAAAACATACGAAAACACATCCAAATGAATCCACTTTTGGGCCTAAAAGCTCGAGTACTCCACTGGGTTTCGTCGGTTGCGAAACCTCACGTGGAGCAGGTTTTAGCCACTTGGAAAGTCGACGGGAATGGGCTTGTGCCATTTGACCATGTCCTCTCTCAAACAAGAAACACACAAACGGAGGTTCGACAGGATGCCGCTGCGGAGCTTTCTGAATTTGGAGAGGCCACTAGCAACTACAAGCTATTGGAAGGCTATTGGCCATCGGTGAGGGCTTTGCAAAAAGTTCTTGACGCCAAACAGTTCCTTTCACAATCCTGTGATGGACCTGAGGCAAGGCCGGCCCCTAACAATGTATGCCACATCAATCTCAGCACCCCAAACTCTATTATGCCGTATGCTTGATCTCTGGACCTCCATTGCCCCCAGTGACCCTAGCATGCTTGGACAACTCCGCGGTCAAGCCAAGCACCACGTGGAGTGAATCAAAAATGAACATAAAAGGTTTTTCAGTATCCAGTATGAAGAACAACGATCGTGGGCACATATGGGCATCAAAAAATTGCTAGGCTAGGACTTTTTTCCTCGGTTTGCAAGCGATTATCTTGCAGTTTGGTCTATGTTCCCATTCCTCTCAGCCCTCCACTGGAGCAAGAAGATGCAGGCAGACATGGTCCCAAAAGACAAAGAGGATGCCTCAGCAAACAACTGCATCAAGCAAGGGAGCGATAGTGAGGCTCGCCACGCATGGAATGGACGAGAGTGAGGCTCGCTCGGACCCCAACTGGGTGCCTGGCCAGGACGGCTTTGGTAAAGCCCAACTGCTCCATGGACTCCACCAAAAGCTCGTGAAGGCAAACGTAGACCATGGCTCCTGCCCATGGAGCGAAACAAACCACTATATAAATATATATATATATGTTTTTTCAAGGAGCTCATAGAGGAGTTCAAGGGATACGGATGATACGGCCAAACATTGTTGATTCTAAAAAACAATCTATGTTTTTTTAAACATGACCTACATGTTGACACTTAAACAAAATGTTGCCTTTACTCGGCCAGCACCATACAAGATTTGTCCTTCCCTTTTCCAGCCTACCGAATGACAACGGGCAGCTAACATCGGCTTGATTTGCAGGAGAACACTGAGGTGGACCTTAACCTTGCTAGTGTCGAATGAGAAACATCATTGTTCACCATCATCAGAAGTTTATGCCCGCACCAATTGCTCACATTGTTCCAAATTGGGTAGTCAATCCAAACCGGTGCACACTTCCTACGCCTGCACTTCCTTTGTCGTGAACCCACCGAAACGACCATCGACCACGGGATCTGCCCTTCGTGGCCGACCTTCCGACGGCATCTCGCCTGCAGAGAAGGCCAATCCGATGGGCAGGAGTCCTTGAAAGACCTGACGCGAATTGCAACAGGTTCCAAGGCGGGTCCACGCGGCTCTGGCGAAGATCTCCTATATATGATGGGCCAATGATGGGCCTAAACATGCCTAAACATATATTTGACATTATCAATCAAGGACTCCGAGATGCATTCTTACATCAATTTGGGAACTACAAGACTCACCACAGTTCTTTGCTCCTCTGCAAACCGAGTCACTTCTACGAAGAGAAATGCCGCCAGCGCCTGTCAGGATGAATATAATGTGCACTTTATATGCTGGGCCATCTTCAAATTGTTTCATCTTCAAATAGTTTTGCCCTTTGTTCTCTTGCCATCTCTGGCTATCCTTCTTGTTGGCTGGTTTTGTGAAGCCTTCCCGTTTCTGAAATATGAAAGGCACTTTTTGTGCAAAACTCTCACTTATCTTTCTCTGCGACGAATTCCTTTGAGGCTCCTTTGGGTGCACAAAGCTTTGTTGCTGCGCACCAGCACAGGCTGCGGCACGCTTGTCAGCGTAGCGATGAAGGCTGCCAATGTGGCCGAAACACCACCTGGGATTCAATCAGCCCCAACAACGGGCCGACATTTCTTTGGCCGAAAACTGGCGCCACCTTAATCCCAAGACGAAAGGGATTGCCTCGCAAGTCTGAATGCATCCAGCATCCTATCTGCCATGAGTCCAGGGGGATTCCCAAATTCGCAATGCTCAACACACATTTTAAACATCCGTCGAAAACAGTCGGACCAAGAGGCGGGGAACCAGAACGAGGGCCACGGCCAAGCCCTCGGGCACATTGTGCACCTTGCGGCAGCCGGGAGCATACAGTACTTTTGCGGCGCCGAGAACATACAGTACTTATGCGTCAGTAATCTGATGTCATATACACAACATATGAACGCACACAGCATAATTGTAAAGCATCCAATTTGTCGACTTGCCAGCTTTTTCATGGACATGTCAGCTAGTGCTTTGTGGCTGATTCAGACTCAATGACTGATGTGATGAGCACAAATTCCCTGTATGTCCCTTTCAATCTCTATGATATTTGTAGATGCACAGCATTTGTAGATGTCATCCCCAGAAAAGCATCTTCCATGCCTCACTTCTTTCCTCACCTCCCTCGGTGGGAGACTGTGACCCAAGGACCCCACGGCTAAAAGCAATGAGATGTAGATTCCAAACTCATGATTCAGCTGCCTCACAAACGCTCAAAAAGCCGTGCGATGGGTGCCGGAAAAAGGCCGGAAAAGCACCGAACGCTAATGCGCTCCAGGAACAGACTGCTCTGACTGCTCTCTAGGAACTGTAAGTTTGGAGAACAAGTCTCACAAATATTCTTGGAAAACATAATAGCTCAAAAACACAACAATAACAATAGCACAACAATTCTAGCAAACCCGCAAACTGACAAAAAGGAAGCTGTAGACTTACGACCTGGATACCAAACTCTGTTTCCATGTGTTTCCTTTATCTCGTCAATTTCTCAAAACACATGCTTCAGTCCACCTTTGAGAGGTTCTTTGGGAGTCCTTCTGGAACGAGCTCCATTCCGTTGCCCGCTCCGGACCCGTGCGCTCGGACAGTTGCCGCAGACCGCCTGCTAAAGGCAACGCCTACAGCGATGCCTTCGGCGGCGGAATGACAGAACCTTGGCCACGTTGCCGGTGCCGTGCAGCATTTTGGTGGAAAATGAGGTCTGTGAAGGAGCGTGTTTGGTTTGCTTCGAACTTAGGACTCCTTCGGACTTGTTGGTCCACAAGAACTCGCGGTCATCCTGATGTGTTAAACTCACCGACATGGTGAAACTGAGTGAATGCTAGCGGATTAGGCCCAACATCATAACATTCTGATTGATACAGCCTGTTGATTGTAGTGTTTAACTCTCAAAAAAGGACATGTTGGAAAGCCCTTTGATCAACGGAGTAGAACATGTTCGATGTCGGCTTTGCATGCGTGTAGTCTGTCAACGAGGTTGTGCGACAGGTCTGGGTACCATACATTACAGTAAAAATCAGCATGGCTTTCCTCCACTGCTTCCTGGCAATTGCAGGCCAACCCTTCACTCACTCCGAGGAACGGCGAACAAATCTGGGAACTCGTTACTAGTGCATCGCTAGTAGTAACAAGTGCCACGCTAGTAGTAACAGGTGCCTTACTAGTAGTAACAAGTGCAATGGATTGCACACACCTTCAACGAGGATCTTTCCCAAGGAGTGCCGTCAGACTGGCAGAATTTGTTGTCAATACAGTTTCCGCAAAATGCTGCTCTTGGCAGCCCAAACCCCACAGGAGCTCTTGTCTGTCCAACATGTTATTTTATGTTATTTTTAACAGTTCGCTCCAACGTTGGTCCTCTCCAGTAGCGCATCGTGGAGGGCTGCGATGCCTTCTTCCTGTCAAGCGCCAAGCAAACCGAAGGAGGTTCCGCGCAAAACATGAGGGTCTTGGTTAAGACCCAAATATGTGGGAAGAAGGGAGGAGTTGAACACTTGCAGTCTCAGCTGTGGACGTGGGCCAAATGCAAACAGTTCACAACGTGGGGAGTGTCTGAAATTGAAAGCCATGGGTATAATGCGATTGGAGGTCGCTAGCTGCGAACAGTTACAAACGCCTCCACTCAAAATGTTCAGACTGACTCCATGCTTTCTTTATGGCTCATGGATCAATGACATGATAGGACCAATAATCACCTAGCTGATCCAAGAAAAGCGGCAGGAGAATGAGTGTGCCAAAACTCAAATCTCATTGCCAATGAATCCCAGCCGCGCCCATGCCTCTTCTTCATCAACGCCATGCAAGCGTTCGCTCGCACGAATAAAAAGAGCACCCGCCTCTATCGACAATTCGCGGATGAGCGTTGTGATCAAGCATAGTCACATCTGATGCCGTTCAACATTCTAATGATCAGAACTGCTCCAACGCAGCTGTCCACGCATGCCTGTTCTAAGCATACAGAATGACAAGCGTTGCTCGAGGATGTAACGACACTAAATTTCTAAAGCTCTCAACTCAAAAAGCAGATCCTCCCAGCGGCTAGCAGTTACACTTTGTGACCGTATGGCAAACATGTAGCCGTGCCCAAACCATTGCACAAATGAACAAGGCATGCTGGGATCACCCCAAGACCAACGAAAAGCTGCCAATCCATTGTGCCGCAGTGCTCATGTGCCTCTCAAACAGAAAGCGCGTCGGGATGCCCTCTGAACAAAATTCAAGAAGCGATATTTGTTCCTTTCAAACCAGGAACTTCGGGAAGCTACAAATGTTAACCTTCAAGTGACCATTAAGGTCAAAAGCTTACTTCGGATTTCTGCTGGAACCCAAGATCATTTACATTACGTCAAGGGACCCTGCAGTGAACCTCTCACACCAATGCCAATGCTCTACTGGTTGAGTCCACAGCGATTCTGCAGCACCATTTGGTGCCAGTTGTTTTTTTGTTTAACCTGAAATCGGAAACCAGTGGATGCTGCCATGTCTTTGGACCCATCTTGAGAGCCTAGTGATTTCCCTCCAGTTGGTTTCCAAACGAAGGCCGCCGAGGTTTAGCGAAGCCTCGAAGACCATGGACGCTGAGGCCGCCAGCATCATACCAGCTGCGACGGCCTGGTCACAAGTCGGCAAGTGACAACTGATGCGAATTGGACAAGCCAGTTGGTTCCACAGCAGTTTCTTGGTTGGCAACCGTGCCAGTTGGTTAGCAGCTCACAGCTTGTTTTAGGGTTTTGGGAATCATCCTTAACACTGAAATTGTGAAACATGGAGATCATAAAGTGCTTTTGGTACAGCACAGTTTTGAATCATTGGCTGCAAAAGGGAAGCACAAGTTCAAGCATGTTGTTCTACAACATGTAACCAGTCACATCTTCAACTAGAAAGGTTGGAATATGTTGGACAGAGGTCCCATGCTTTGGAGTCACAAACGCGGATCCTTTTTGAGCCAATTAAACAACCTTCCCAAGACATATCACCACAATATCTAATGTCTCAAAACACCAACACATTTCAGTCCAGAAGATAGGATTTTTTTTCTAAAAACCTGAGCCAAATCATTCGTGCGAGCGCTTCTTCAAGGAAGCTCCACCGCCCTCAGGCTGGGGGAACTTCCTTGAAGAAGCGTGATTTATCCTGCGTTCATAGCAGCTTGCTCCCTTACTCCCTAACTTAATTAAGTAGGCGCCTACTTATTTTAAGTAGGATCGGAACTGGTTTAAAAAAACACAAAGGACTGTTGCGCGTTGCGGTTATTGGGCCCCTTCATTGACCTGCATAGCTCTTTTCAAGTGCAATCTGCAACCCGCAACCAATCTTATCTGCAATGCTCCTTGCCGCCATCTGAACAAACAACATTAAACAGAACCCCCCAAAAAACACACACACATTTCTAGACCAGTCCAATCCCAAGAACCCCCCCCCAAAAAAAATAACAAAGATGTCAGAACTATGCAATCCCAAGAAACCCAAAAAAACAAAAAACAAAGAGTTCAGAACTATGTTGACGATTAGATTAGTATGGAAATCTTTGTTTGTTTTGCTTTTTTGGCTTTGTCATCCAGGATCAATCCAGATTATATAATCTGAAGTAATCTTGCTCAATGAACCCTACATGTCTGCTCCACACTCAAACCTTCATCTGCTGCTCATCTGCAGGATGTGGCTTGTAGCTCCTATTTGCTTTCCTTGCTCTCTGTTTTTTTTCATTTCTCCTATCTTATTTCTGATTAAAAATCATATAGCTTCCTTCTATCCTCATCAGTCTTGAGCCTCTTACATTCATACAGCATAATGTTATTATTGAACATCAAGTCTATACAGTGATTAGCATAGGCTTCAAACTCAAACACATTACTTAACACTTTTGGATTATTGAGCTTCTCATCACCATAAGATATGCCAAAAAACTAGTTGATGGTTACTGCTTCTGCACCGCATTTTTGTTTCAATTTATTAGTGGGCACTACAAATACAACTTTGTATTTTCTCTCCTGTAGGTGTCTACATATACAGTAAATGACTTGCCTGTTCCTGCAACACCACCTCTAACCATCAGCCTCTTTGTTAGCAAGATGTGTTCATTGATAATCTCATCAGTGTTCCATTCATTTTTCACACCACCGGTTTCATTTGAATACTATGTAATGTTTTCTAAGAAGCTTGGTTTTCTACAAAAGGGTTGTGATGGAGACCTGAACCTATTACAATACTTCCATTCACCAATATCATTGCCACACGTTACAAGACTCTCTGCCTTCCCCAAATTATTTGCCCTCCCTAAATTACATGTACCAATCACAATGCATCAGTCTTTACTGAATACACCTGTATATCAATCTGCTTCAGTTTCTCATAGGCAACATTCATACTGTGGTTATGGTTTTGTAAAATCATCTCTTTGATAGACCTATATCCATTCTTTAGACTGTTGATGTCACTTATGCTTAAAACATACTGCTTATTCACATTCAATTCTTTTTGGAACACAAATTCATGTTGCTCCTCATCTATCTAATGTTCATTGCCTTTCATCTCTCTCAATTAAGCAATCATCATCACTAATCATAATTCTCTCCTCACCCTCCTTCATATATTCAGTGATTACATTTATGTCGCCACCATATATCTCTTGATAGTAAAAGGCATCAACCATATTAGAAAGGCTATGGACCTCTTTCCTACATTAGTTTGTTTTCTCCAGTAGTCCAATTTTGATAGAAGAAATCATCTTATTTTTCTTACCCTTCTCTTCATCCTCATCCAGTTTTAAACTATACAAGTCATCAATCAGTTTTTTGTACTGGACCTTGTATGTATTAGATGGCACTGTGAAATAAATGATTCCAACAACACCAGCATATTCCTTCAAACCCTTTCCATAAATCAAGTTATGTTCTGTTGAGCAATATGTTCCTAACCTTGCTCTTCACAAAATACAATGTGAAAGAGTTTATCTTGCTGAAATCACACATTTGATAATCATATTTCTTCCAACTATCAAATTCAGAAAACACCGGTATCCTGACAGTGTCAATTGGTGCTATGGTGTGTGCCATTGAAAAGATGTTCATATCATCTTTGTGATAGTAGGACTTGTGAGTGGGATTGAACATCCCCTTGTTGAAGTTGAACATTAGTTCATTCACGCTATTGAATGTTATCAGCATCACTACTTTCAATACAAATATCTACAGCACAGTTTATCAAACTCTGACTTCTGATGTTCAAAGTCAGATGGTTGAACTTGAATTTGATTGATGAACTGTTGCCACCAACTCCCATTATGATTTTGGGTTCATACTTTGCTCTCTTGAACTCACAATATACATCATTAAGTTCCCTTCTACTTTGTCACATCACTGATGTCAATAACCTTGATGGCAGTTGTATAGTCTTCAATGTTAGGATTTTGTGTTATTGGTTTCCTATTTGTTTTAACCAATCTCTTAAACACTTGTTTAAATAGTTCTGTGTTATGTATTACTTCAAACTCTCTGCATTTGCCTGTCATATTATTTCGCCAATTTCAACTACATCGACAAGCTCTTGAAGGAAGCATTGGCCACCTGATGCTAAAAGGGGAGCGCAAACAAACTGACCTCCTGATTCTTTTTAACCTTGCCCTGCATCAACTATGTAAGAAGATTGATCTAGATTAAATCTTCAGAACCCTGATTTCTGCAACCAGCAACAGTCCCTTCTCTTAAAAAAATGAAATCATCCACGGGACCTGGGAGGTTCCATATCTTGACACAGGTTGCCGCATTCAAGACTGCAGGCAACCTTATATTGAACATATTTCACCGGTTTTTGGTGATTGACGGCTTTCCGCACCATTGAAAGCCCTAATCTCACAAGGCCATCATACTTCTACAAGAAAGACTTCCATTCGACCACCGATGGGCCGGATCATATTGGGGGGGCATAAAGCCCTTCCTCACCCCTAGACGCTAAGCTTTAAACGTCCCCAACATAAGCCCAAGCATCCCAGCCTTGAACCTACTAGAACCGTCCCCCCTCCCACACACACATACTTAGACTTAGATCCTTGCTTGCAAGAGCTGTATCAGTTTGGAAAATCAAAAGATACTGCAATTAGACCGTTGGTGCAATTAGACCTTGGCTGATGGAACAGAATGGCGGATGGGTCCGAGGAACAGAATTGTTTGACCGGAAAATTGGAGTAACAGCTTGGTCAACAGTTCACAAAACAGGTATGAGTGAAACGATGTCCTCCAGCTGCGTCTTAAATGCGCCCAGGAGCGACAAAAGCAGGTACGTTCTCAGCACCACACCAACAGGCGCTTCGTTGGCCACTCCCTGTGGTGGGTGGAGTGGCCCCCTGCTTGACTGTACATGTAAGGGTGAGGAAAAGTTAGAGATCTAGTTACTGGTGGTGTCAGAGGTCCTTAGGAACAGGACCCAACACACACACA